TCGATTTCAATTTTGAAAAACAAAAATCACATTGTTTTGTTTAAGTAGCCTGTCATGTCATGTCATGCAGTTTACCAAAAAAGGTCAACATAATGTCAAAATAATTCACCGACCTGAGAAAATATTTTGTTCGTCTTAACGCTCCAAATATGCCCCAACTTGCTGATGGACAATAAGCCATTCAGCCACTCATTCGTTCATTAAATCAAAATAGTAAAATTTCACATTTTCAAATAACTACTTCGTTGACATATTTCATATCATGTCAAGTTTTTGACAAATTTGCATTCGCATGTTGCAAGCTAAGCTCGATTTCGCGACATCTACTGCTTTCCATGGTAATTTCCTACAAAGCTTGCGCTAAATGAGACTGGAATTTTAAAGACGGAATGATGTCTGTGGGTTAGTTGGTTTCCATTTCTCTGCGTCGATGGACAAGTTCAATAAATCTCCTGATTTCCGCTGGAAACATGAAAAATTAGTCATTAACTGCTCATAAAAGCATACATTGTTGGAAAATGTTTTTTCCGCAAAACCCAATGATTTCATAATACTAAGCAACCGAAATTTAAACAGGTATATTTATACCCTACAACACCATGTGTTGGGGGTATTATAAGTTTGATTGGGCCAAAAATTATGTAACACCACGAAATATTGGTTTCCCACATAGGAATGTATATATGGATCTTCCTATCTCGCCGAGCTGAGTCGATATAGCTATGTATGTCCGTCTGTCCATGTTAATTTGTAATCACTCACAAGTCGCAATTATAACCCGATCCTCACAAAATTTTGCACGAAGGTGGGGTTAGGGTCAGAATAGAAGCCTGTTTCTTTTGGAGATGATCGCCAAATGTTTAGGGGTTGAAATGGACCAAATACTGAAAAAATTTTGCAATAGCTATACAGGTCGCAATTATAGACCAATCGACGCGGAATTTCGCATGTAGGTAGAATTTAGGACAGGGAAGAAGCCTACCAATTTGGGTGGTCATCGGATAATATTTAGCGGGTAAAATAGACCATATCTTTTGTGTTGAAAAAATTCAAAATTTTTCATTAAACCGCGAATATTTTAAATCCTGGCGAAATCACAAAGCCATGACAAGGTTACTTCTGTACTTTACATTGATGTTAACATCCAACAAATCGGATATATAGTAAAATATGTGCAATATATATGTCTATCAAAGAGGATATGCTTGAAAAATCTCTTATATGTCGATAACGGCTGAACTGATTTCGACAGTTCTCATTAAGAAATGGCCTCTTGGCAGGAAAGAAAAAACGTCTAAAAAAAGTCGCATAAAAATATCTCTTTAAAGATAAAAATATTGATTTTGTAACATTTTTTATATTTTTTCAATTTTATCATATTTTTGGCATATTTTCATTTTGAATTAAACATTTGGTAATATTTCTACAGCTAATAAAACTAAGTAGTTAGGATATCAGGATATCATATACAGATCTCATTTATGGCCCGATCCCTACGAAATTTTGCATGGGGATAAGATGAGGGTTAGAATAGAAGCCTACTCTTTTTGGAGATGATCGCCATATATTTAGGGGTTGAAATGGACCAAAAACTGCAAAATTGCCAGCAGGTCGTAATTATCGCCCGATCCTCACGCACATTTGAATGGGGATTACCGGACATTGCAAAAGCCAAGCAGTTTTGGATGGCCATCCAAAAATATTCAATGTGTGAAGGAGTTTGCCAACTTTTGTAGACAAAATACGAAAATGTCCCTTCCAGTGACTTTTTGGAGAATTCACAAATACAGAAAGACGCACTTCTGACTATTTCGTTAACGCTGATTTGGTTGAAGAATATAGTCAAATGTCTATATCTCATATAGATGCGTTTCAGTCAAAAACCAATAATAAATGTTAATCTTTTGCCACTTCTGAGAGATTATAGGTCTTTGGTTCCAGATCTAGGAAGACCATTTACGTGCAACATCTACCAATAAATTGGAAATTGCTATTATTCGAAAATTAGAGAACGAAACCACTTGTTTTGTTTTGGCTTTGGAATGAAAAATTGTCTAAGCGAACAAAAAGTTGTATTTGTAGAGTTGGAAACTGTAGATTCAAGCTCAATTATTGTACTTATGTTACCTTAATAAAATAAAGAATAATACACTAACGAGCCTATACAGGCCTTTCATATAAGGGAGACATTCTGCATCATTTTCTTAGAATCAAATTTTAGAATAAGTATAAATTTGTTCGAATTGGTCACCTTGGGAATGAATTATGGCTTTCAAACGGCTAACCGTCACACGCTGCCCGGCAAAGCGCCAATTCCCGGCAAAGCGCTTGTTTGAGGTGATTGGCCCTTTGTGCGCTGGAAATGAAGCGAGGAACCTGATTTTGCAACCATTCTTGGAAAGGGGGGGGGGGGGGGTCGTGCTGAGTGTGATGGTGCAGAGTCCCGTTGGAATTTCCAAGGTCTGCGGCCAAAATCTTTGCGTGCCCAAGGCTTTAATACACTCTTCCGAATATTTTCGCGAGCATATTCGGAATTTATTCTGATGCCACGGTCGATTAATACGAGCGGAGAGCGACCATCGGCTGTTATTCTGAACGTCTTTCATAGATAAAAAAAATCATTCTGAGCGCCTTAAATATTTCGACCTTCTAACGATTTTTGAAAGCCTTCTGTAAATATCAAACAATTTAAAGTTATCCTTTATATACAGAACAACTTCTTCTAGGCCGAAGATTTTCTGAATTTATTTTAATATATAATTAAATCGTTCTAAAGTTCTCCCATTAGTAGAAGAACTTCTAATGTTGTCTTCCACTTCGTCTAAAGAGACTCCCTCCATCTCGCTTATAAGTAGCTTTATTAAGTCTACTTTTAACTCGCCTGTAAAAACTCTCTCCGTGTCGTCTATAAAAATCCCCTCCAGCTCGCCTAAAAGGGTTTTCTCCAACTCGTCTTAAAAGACTCCCTCCAGGTCGCACATTAAAGACAACGGCTCCCGCCTATCAAAAAAAATCGCTTTAAGGTCGCCTATAAGTACTCCCTCCAGATGGACACCCCGGCACTCGTATTAAGACTCCCTCTATCTAGCCTAGAAAGAAACCCTCCAACTCGCTCCGAAAGACTCCTTCCAAGTCGCCTATACACTGTCTTCAACTCTCTCCAAGCCTCCAAACTAGCCCATAAAGTCGTCCTTCATTTACTTCTCCTTCAGCAAGCGGTTGAATATGTTTTTCCTCTACCTCGGCTAGAAACCCTCCAATTCGCCTCGAAATTCTCCTTACAGATTGCCCAAAAAAACTCCCCTCAGCTGCACTACAAACACTCCCTCCAGGTCGCATATAAAGACAACATCCAACTAGCTTAGAACGACGCCTATAAGTACTCTCTCCAGATGGGCATCCCGGCACCCGTATTAGGACCTCCTCTATGTCTCCTAGAAAGAAACCCTCGAACTCGTTCCGAAAGACTCCTTTCAGGTCGCCTAAATACTGCCTTCAACTCTTTCCACGCCTATATAACCGCCTTGAAATACTCCTCCAAACTAGCCCATAAAGACTTACTTCATTTACCTCTCCTTCAGCAAACGGTTAGATATCCTTTACCTCTACCCCGTCTAGAAACCCTCCAATTTGCCTCAATAGACACCTATAAAATTGACTAAAAAGGTTCTCCTTAACTGCCCTAGAAACACTCCCATGGTAAGAAAGGTCGTCTAGAAAGACTCCCTTTAACGAGCCTAGAAATACTCCCTCCTTTTTATACCCTACACCACAAGGTGGCCAGGGTATTATGTCTTTGTGCATTTGTTTGTAACAGGCAAAAGGAAACGAGATAGACCCATAGTTCCTTTTGATGATCTGCATAGAATCACATTCTAAGTCGATTTATGCATGTCCGTCTGTCCATGTATTTTTGTAAACAAAGTACAGGTCGCATTTATTGCCCGATCCAGATGAAATTTTGCACAGATCATTTGTTTGGTCCAAGGACGAACCCTATTGAAATTGGAGATAATCGGTCAAAATTTAGATATAGCTCCTATATATATATTCGTCCGGTTTGCCTTTTATTGTGCACCAAACGTGTAATATCAGCCTGAATTGTATGGAATTTTGCATATGCACCCAAATTAGGCCTGCAAATAAGTTTGGCAAATTTGATCGAAATCGGTTCAGATATAGCTATAGCTCCCATATATATTGTTCATCCGATTTGCTATTTTTGCCCTCCGCAGCCGTAATATCCACTCTGCAACAACAATATTTGGGGAAATATATCAAATACAGCTCAGAAATGCATTTGCTAAATTTTATCGAGATCGGTTCAGATTTGGATATAGCTCCCATATATAACTTCGTCCGATTTACTTTTTATTGTGCACCAAACGTCTAATATTTGTTTAAATGGGACGGAATTTGGCACTTACGACCGAAGTTGGTCTAGAAGCTAGTATGTCAAATTTGGTGAAGATCGGTTCAGATATAGCTGTAGCTTCCATATATATTATTCATACGATTTGTTATATTTGTTACCCACAACCGTAATATGCACTCCATAACAACGATATTCAGGGAAATATATCAAATACAGCTCAGAAATATCTTTGCCAAAATTAATCGAGATCGGTTCAGATTTGGATATAGCTCCCATATATATCTTTATCCGATTTTAAATTAATTGTGCACCAAATGGGCAATACAAGACCGAATTTAAAGGATACAAATGCTTCGGCACATTTAGCCCTTCGAACTTTAAATTATAATTATAATCATAGCGTGTATGATTGAATTCTCCCATAAAAACTTTTAATTGTTATGTGGAGCTCTACTAAATTAGCAAAGTGGTGTAGGGTATCATAAAGTCGGCCCCGCCCGACTTTAAGACTTTCTTTACTGGTTTCTTCTTTAGCGAACGGTTAGGTATTCCTTAATAAATGTATGTGAACAACCCTTTCATATTGGAAACAAATAAAAGATCGCATTAAACAGGTATTGTTTGAAAAAATGTATTTGTTGTTAATTTGATGCCTATCAAACAAAGTATTTTATTTCCATTTTTTTTTTTTTCGAAAAGTAGATGACAAATGGAGTAAACTCTGAAAATTTGAATTTTTATATTCCGCTAATAAAGTATATAAAACGTGTCATATTAAGATCACCATCGCATGACTATGTGTATACAGCTGTCGAAGTGGAACATTTCGATCAATAAGGTCGATGAATTTTGTCAATTGTTTGACTCTCTCTCACACTCCGCTCCTCCTATTTACCGGTATTGAAATATGTATTATAAATTAATTAACATTTAAACTTGATTCTATTAAACAATACGTGTTCGCACACAGATGAACAATTGCCATGTGTGCTTTTAACGTTTTCTCTTTTTCAATATTTCAATAAAAACGCATTTACAAATCTTCAAATAAATAGAAAGTACAAAAACAAAAAAAAAAAAACAGCAAATTACATTTAGAAGACCTCATCGGGATCGTAATTTTGACTTTCAATTTTTTGGCGGGCCTTGGCCAATTTGGCGCTTAATTCCGATGAACGCACGGTTTTAAACTGTAAAAATAGGAAATTGATTAACAATTTAAAAACGAAAAAAATCAAATGATTTTCTTACTTCGGAAATATTTTTTTGCAAAACAATTTGTGATATCAAACGACGACTTTCTTTTTGACCAAAATAACCCTCAATAATGTGCGGCGATAGGGCAAAGAGCTCCTCACCATTCAGGCCACGTAGTTTCTTGACAATAATATCAGAGAATCCCTTGCCCCTAAGCCATTCCTCCACTTCCTTGGGCTGGGATTTCTGATTGATGTAAATTTGTGGTGTCTTTAGAATTTCCAAATCACGTCGCCGCTCCCTCTGCATCAGAGTGAATTTCAATTCATCATTAATGGTACTTTGCAGCATGAGGGCCTCGTTTGTTTCGTCTAATTCGGTGCGAGCACGCATGGCTGAAACGAGGGGGGAAGGTGTTTTTGATAATTTTCTTCGTTTTAAGGAATTCAGTATTGAACTTACCTGCAATATTACCATTCAGGGCCATGTTACGCTTCAAGGTACCCGATGGTGTTTCATATGACTCATTTTCACTATCTGGTGGCGGCAATGGTGGGGGGATGGGTACATTCGGCATACTTATCGAGCGAGGAATGGAATTTCTAGAGGCACGCTGTAATTGAGCAGCTTGTAGTTCCGCCTCAGTTGGAGGTATAAACGTTGTCAAAGTCTTACGATTATTAACATTTCGCTGGATGGGTTGATCTGAAAGTCAGAGAAAATATACATGAGAATTTTCTATTTAAATGCCCAGGTAAAAAGTCCATAAAAGTAAATAGTAAAAAATGATTCTTCATTTTAAAATTCAAAAGCAGTATGCTCTATAAGGGCGAATACATGAGTACAATTCCCACAAAAAATATCATATAAGATTAAATGGAAGCCTTCATAGATTTGTAGAACGAATTTCATATCTCAGCTTCTTATGTCTACTCTGGACTCCAACTCACAAACAAATTCCAATTACATAATTCCAAAAGTACCAAATTTAGTTCCAATTCTACCTCGTCTTCGTCTTAACCCCTACGAAGTAAAAACATTTATCTTTCAAAATTTTAACATTAATACAAGGAATTGTATATTATGCACCATTTAGTACACTAATAGTACGAATTTTTAATTTAACCAGTAAGGAAAGCTCAAAAGTCGGGCGGGGCCGACTATATGATACCCTACACCACTATGCATATTTAGTAGAGCTCTCGTAAAAAGGTTTATACAGGGCATCTCAGAGATCTCTATGAGATATTTGGTACAAAATCAAAATCTATCTAATTCTATCGTGCATTTTACGAACTATAGCTATCTCTGAACCGGGTTTCTCCAAATTTGACGTATTAGCTTCTAGACTGAATTCGGTCTTATGTACGAAAATTCATGCCATTTGGGTTGATATTGGCCATTTGATGCACAATTAACACGAAATCCGATGAAGATATATATGGGAGCTATAGCTATATCTATATCGATTTTTACTAAAATTGGTGTACTTGCTTCTAAGCTGGTTTCGGTCGGATTTGCCAAAATTGATGCTATTACGGCCATTTGGTGGTCAATCACCCGAAATCGGATGAATATATATATGGGAGCTATATCCAAATCTGAACCGATTTCGGTAAAATTTAAAACAGCTATTCCTGTGCTCCATTTAATACCTGGTACCAAATATCACGGTTGTGGAGTGCATAGTAGGATGTGAGGGACTTAAAGATCAAATCGGATGAAAGGTATATATGGGAGCTATAGCTATATCTGAACCGATTTTCTCCAAATTTGATATACTTGCTTCTAGGCCGAATTCGGTTGGGTGTGCCAAAATTCAGGTAATTTGGACTGATAGTGGACATTTGGTGCACATTTAACCCGAAATCGGATGAAGTTATATATGGGAGCTATATCTAAATTTGATCCGATTCTCACCAATTTCAATAGGGTTCGTCCTTGGGCCAAAAAAATATTGTTTGCAAAAATTCATCTCAATCGGATAATAAATGCGACCTGCATTTTGTTCACAAAAATACATGGACAGACGGACGGACGGACTGACATGCATAAATCGACTCAGAAAGTGATTCTATGAAGGTTCTCAAAAGTAACTATGGGTCTATCTCGTTTCCTTCTCCATGTTACAAACAAATGCACAAAGACATAATACCCCTACCACTATGTGGTGTAGGGTATAACAATTCTAGCCACCTTTTCAATATCGGTTTGTCACAACTCTATATGGCGATAGTGTTCCTTACATAAAGTTGTATAATAATAGCTGTTGCCGTTCACCAGTGCCTCAAAAACTTTGCACCTTTTAGTACCTTTGGTAATATAATTCATCTATTACATGCATTCGATATTCCTACCCTTTAGGGCTTTTAATTCTTCCTTATTGCTCATTGGTGCAATATACAGAGTGAGATGAAAAAAACTGCAACCAACTTCAGACTGCAGTCATTTCTAAGTCACTCGTCCGACAGCTGTTAAAATTATTCCAGTGACAGCTCATTATATTTTTTAGAAGCGTTCAAAAGCATTTTGGTGAGAAATTTCTAGAAAAAAAGTTATACGTGATGGAATTAAAGCGTGATAGTGTGATTTCTTTATATTTGGCTGGAAAACCACAAGTGGCTATCGTTGGAGCACTCCAGCATTTAAAAGTGCATAAATCTTTCGTGTCTCGTACCTTCGCTCAACGATGTCAAGGAAGTGGACAGATGAAAACAGCAACATCAGATGAAATGGTTCGAAAAGTAAAGAAGCGACTTGATCGAAACCCGCGACACAGTGGCTGAAAAATCGCTCGTGAGCTGAACATATAGCAATTTTCCATTGGGCAAATATTGAAAAAAATGAGGTCGGGGTAAAGCCATTGAAATTCCAAAAAGTGCAAGAACTTATTCCGCAAAAGAAAAAAAAATAGACTCAAAAGAGCTAAAGAGTTGCTTCGCATGACAGAAAGTGGTAAACTGCCGAATTTGGGTTTCTCCGATGAGAAAACATTCGTTGTCCAGCAGTTTGTAAACAAACAAAATGATCGTGTTTACTTGCCAAAGAGGTCAGCTGAAAATGTGCACCTTCGGTTGACCACCAGAACTCAAGAGCCCTCCGAATATTATCAGAATAAATGCCGAAAAAGCCTTGGGCACGCAAACATTTCGGCCACAGTCCTTGGACATTCCAACAGGATTCAGCACCATCGCACTCAGCACGCGCCACCCAAGAATGGTTACAAAGCGCACAATGGCCACCAAAATCTCCGGTTACCAATCCGTTGGACTATTGTGACTGGAGTATTTTGGAAAGCAGGTTGGAACTAAAAAATACCAAAGTGTCGATCACCTCAAGCAAGCGCTTCGTCGGGAATGGGCCAAAATACCGCAGAGCAAAAGTTCGGGCAGCGTGTGATGGTTTCATTGGCCGTTTAAAGGCCATAATTCGTGCCAAAGGTGACCAATTCGAACAAATCTAAACTTATTCTAAATTTTGATTCTATTTCCGGCATTTTTATACCCTCCACCATACTATGGAGGGTATATTAACTTTGTCATTCCGTTTGTAACTCCTCGAAATACTCATGTCAGACCCAACAAAGTATATATATTCTTGATCAGCGTAAAATTCTAAGTCGATTTAGCGATGTCCGTCCGTCTGTCTTTCCGTCTGTCTGTCTGTTGTAATCACGCTATCTTTCGAATGAATTGAGATAGATGGCTAAAATTTTGCACACATGTTTTTTTTTCCAGTAGGCAGGTTAAGTTCGTAAATGGGCCATGTAGGTCCACGTTTTCATATAGCTACCATACAACGGTAACCCCCCTATATTCGGTATTTTGATGATTTTAGCGACATTATTCACGGGAATTGTTTCAAATCTGGTATTTGAAGTTCCAAATGGATACTACACCCTAAGACAGAAAATTGTCTTTGCAGGTCCACGTCTTCGTATAGCCCCAATATAACGGTACCTCCCTATATTCGGTATTTTGATGATTTTAGCGACATTATTAACCGGAACTGTTTAAAATTTGGTATTTGAAGTTCGTTATGGGAACTACAGTCTGTGACAGAAAATTGTCGGTGCGGGTCCAGTTTCGAATTTGAATATGGTAATGGCTTATGACAAACAATGCATATGTATGTCCACGTCGTATAGACCCCAATATAACGGCTATATTCGGTATTTATAAAATTTTAACAGAATTTTTTAAGGATTTTATTTTTTGAAAATTTCCAAATTCGTTGCAAATGGTGGAGTGTATTAAAAGTTTGGCCCGGCCGAACTTACTGCTTTTTAACTTGTTTGCTTTCATTCAATAAAAAAATGTAAAAATGATGCCGTTTGACTTTGTTGTAGCTTTCTAACTCCCCCTGTATATCACCAAATTTAGAGCTTTCCGTACAATTATAGCACATACTTCCAAAACCACATCCATATCTCAATACCAACAAAGACCTCAATATCAAATTTGAGGATTCTAGCCATATATTTCACTCAACACAAAATTTAGTATAATTTAGTACAAATTTAGAACGCATTTCCAAACCACCGCCAAATCTCAAACACATATATTATCAATTGTCCAAGGATCTAAATTCAGAATTTTATCACTATCCCATCACACAATATAAAATATAGTACTATTCAGTACTTTTCGTCCAAAAATGAACGTAGTACAAAATTTCAAAATTCCAGCTTCATCCGTTCACTCTAAAGCAAACTGTTCACATTTAGTACCATTTAGATCAGTTCACATACTTAGTAAACCTTTCCAAAGACGCCTTCATATATCAAGCTTACTTTTCAACCTTCATTCGACAAATATCAAACGGTACCATTTAAGAAGCTTTCGTAACCTTAAAGTTCGAATTTTCAAAACCCCTTCTATCAGTGAGCTGAATTGTTGTAGAAACTAGAAGCTTGTCTAGCATGCCCTTTGTCTTGTTTGTAGAAGACCTCCTTCATCCGCTACCTGTTTAAGATTGTACATAAAAGGTGGGTCAGGCAAATGCAAGCATATGTGCTCCCAGCAAACGAAATTTGTTCCATACCCACAAAATTGGGTAAATATAAAACTGTATATCTTTGCCCGGCCCTGTATAAAAGTTTGTCCGATGCAGTTAATCGGAGATATGAAAACCATCAAAGATTTTCTAAAACAACTTGTCACTATACCTCAAGGCTGGGTCAAGAGCTGCAATTTTACATTCCCCCAACTGTGTTTCACATTGATTTCATAGCTTTTTATGGTTCTGATTGAGCGAGCGAGTAGAAAACTACGCTAATCTAATTTATCCGGTCCTGATATATACTGCCTTTTTGAGCTTATCAATCGATAATATTTAGACTTCACTATATTCCTGAATGGAGTCCCTGCTCGTCTATTAAATAAGCCCTGCATCACCACGTAAGTTCGTTAGTCAAAGCTCTCCCAAAAATCCTCCTACTCTCCTTCTTCTACTCGTCGTCTAAAGATGGAATAACTTCTCGCCCCAAAAACTTTATTATTTTCTCCTTTCTTACCATTATGCTCAGGTTGGGATGAACCAATAGAATCTGTATCTTTGCCCGAGTAAGTTGAGTTTTGATCAAAATTGTGCGGGGCCAAGAGGGTGTGTGGCACATAACCAATATTGCCGGAGGCATTGCGGGCTTTCCACCAATTACGAGAGTCATCAATGATCTGCAAAGCAAAAGAAATTCGAAATTATTTTTTAAATGAAATTTAATTTTTTTCCATTTTATTGATCCCACCTCCAAATATTCCCCCTTGGTGACATTCAATTCCCGATCATTGTTCGCCACTTTGTTGTACATAACTTCGGCAATTTTCACATTTCTTGTCTTGAGCCGCAACAACCAGGTGTTGTTGTAATTTGTGGTACCCGGCGACTTTGATGGTGGCTGCTGGCCTGCTGCCGTCCTGGCTGCTGTGGGTGGTGGTATGTATTTTACCTCCTCATCGACCACCCAATCGGGCGACCATTCATCATAGAATTTTGGATGATAGGATCCCTTGTGATCCTTGAAATGTTCCTTGGCTTGAATCCAATTGAGACCTAACGATTGCCAAAATTTCATTTCCTCTTCGTTGAGGCAGCTCTTAAGGAAGGCAATGGTGTCGGCACGCAGTAGCGGATCAACGACATTCTCAGCCACGGCGGAGCCAGTGTAGACATCATTGCACACTCCGTAGATGGCTTGCAGCGACACAAACGAGTTGTGGATGGGTTCGGCTGGATCTTGAAAGTGGTTTTTCAGCTTGAGCACGTAGTTAAAGGCGAGCTTGTGTTTGGCAAAAATGTCGCGAAATTCCTTCTCCGTTGGTGGACGAGAACGATTCAGCAGCAGACCCTCGCCATGTGAGCTGTGTTCGTATTTACGCACCTCCAGCTCACGCAATGCTTCGGCGGCAAACTGTAAGCGTGTAACGAAACGTTCAATGTCTTCGAAGCAGTGGTTTAGCACCTGAATGTCTTTGTTGGTTTGTTCTTGGTCTTGAGCGGTTTTTTCGTTGGCAGCTTCGGCGGCTGCCACAGCCAAGCCATATTGGTCTTTGCTTTGGTGCATGGGGCGATCCGATTTGGGCACAACAATGGGAGTCTTATTGCGGTCTATGGTCACTGCTTTGCCGCTGGACAGTTGTTTAAGATCTTCCACCAAATGGACGGCCGAGACATCGCTTACCTAAATTAAAATTAATTAATTTTTTTTTATTTATTTTTTTTTTTTTGCTCAAAATATTCTCCCCCAACCCTCTTGCATACCTGAAAAATATGCATTTCGGTGTTGCCCAACGAAATGCCCGGCACTGTAAATAGCAATAAATTATTGTAAATTTCCATGGGATCTTCACTGATGAAGGCTGTCGGTTCGGTAATTAGGGATCCTGGGAAGTTTTCAATTTCCTTCATGTTGCTGTCCAACATCACCAACCACTGGCCACTGAAGCACATGTACATTTTCATGGGCCACACGCCGCCCACCTTGTCCAACTCCATTAGGGTTTTCAGTTTATCCTTTGGCCTCGAAACTTCCGTGTCACTTTTCAGCTTGAACGTGCCCAAGTGGTCCAGAGCATAGGTGGGCTTGTTCTCTGTGGCAATGTGACCATTTGGCACACCGTTGCCATTTGTATAGCCGTTTTGAACCATAATTGATTAATACATTCACTGTGAGAATTAAAAAAAAATAAATGGGGAAATGGGAGTGTTAGAGTATTTTTATCAAGTTTCGGATAGAAAAAAAATTCTTTATTGTTTATGGTTGATTATACTTCCAAACATCGCCGTATTTCTAGATAAACTACAAAATTTCACAAAGTTATATTTAATCATTCGCTTTCGACATTCTTGGTCGACATTCGAAGTGTTTAAGTTTTGAATTTCTTTGAAATACTTTAATCACACCGTGATAACGCAATGAGTTTCTTTTAACATTGAACCGTCAAGCACAAGAATTTGTTTGGTATTTTTACTAAGAAATTGTAAAATGTATATTAGGCTCTACCGCGTTTTCCTCAAAAAATACGTGACCTAAACCACGACTGTTTTATGGGGACAAAAAAATTAGAAAGAATCGGTCAGTTTGTCGACTGATATGCGTATAATCTCAGTCTATGAACCTTTTAGAGACTAAATTTTATGGTCTGAATTGCTTTAAACAATATTTTTTAATAGTATCAGATTTACATTTAAAAAATTAATTTTTTCAAGAAAACTTTGTAAAGTACTCTTATTTCGTCAGAAATATTGAATTTATGGAAATTCATAGATAATTTTCGAAAAGAAAGGCCTATTAACATTTTTGTAATATTACCAAACAAGTAAAAAAGCAGCTAAGCTAGGCCGGGCCGGGCCGAACTTTTTATACCCTCCACCATTTGGAAAGAACCCTTAGCATTTTGACCAGGGTCATTTGCCCAATATTTACGCACTTCGCCGTGCTGTTAGTTGTTGTGGTCCATTTTACAGCTAAATATAATGCAATGGTCATCCAAAATGCCAGAATTCTTCCTTGTCCTTAACACTCTTCTCAGGCGTGTCGATTGGCTTCAATTGTGTGATCAGGAAAGTTTTTCTGTTTTTGGTTCATTTCAACCCCTAAATATTTTGCGATCATCTCCAAAAGCAAAGACCCCTCTGTATCTATTAGTGTTCCATTCTACCGCTATCCTAAACTCTAACTTCATGCGAATTTCGTGTCCTTTGGTTTCCATTTGTGAGCTTTATAACGGCTGCAAAATGAGGAACATTTTAAGTTTTTGGTCCATTTCAAATAAATATATTGCGGACATCTTTGAAAACAATATGCCTAGACCTTCTGAGCCCAACCCTACCCTTGTAAAAAATTTCGAGAGGATCGGACGATATTTGCAATCCTTATATAATAACCCAAACCTGTGTTATAAGGTGAAAAAATATTACAAAATATTATAAGTCAAATTGAAAAAATCGCATGCGATAAAAAATATTAAAAAAAAAAAATGTAACAAAATACTACAAAATCTAACAACACATCATTATTGGTATATTTTTCCGCGATTTTTTTAGATTTTATACTTTTATGTCAAGAGGACATTCTGAATTGACAAAATTTATCGAAATCGGTCCAGCCATTCTGGAGATATAAGCATTCTAACTAACATCCCCTTCCTTTGTATATACACATTGTATATATTTGGCTATATATAACCGATATATTTACTATCGGCATCTACGTAACGGTCAGAATTGACCTGTTCGTCTATTTGTGATTTCGCCGGGATTAAAAATATTCGCGGTTTAATGGAAAATTTGACTTTTATTTAACACAAATGTTGTGGCCTATTTCACCCACTTAATATTACCCGATGGTCATCAAAATTGGAAGGCTTCTGTCCAGCCCTAAGCTCTAGCCCCATGCTAACTTCCGCTTTGATTGGTCTATAATTGCGACCAGTAGAGCAACTGCAAAATCAGGATTTTTTCAGTTTTTGGTCCATTTCAACCCCTAAATGTTATGCGATCATCTCCAAAAAAATAGGGTTCTATTCTGACCCTATCCCCACCTCCATTCTAAATTTCTTGAAGATCGGGCCATAATTGCGACCTGTAGAGTGATTACAAATTAACATGGACATACGGACAGACGGACGGACGGACATACATAGCTAGATCGACTCAGCTCGGCGAGATAGGAAGATCCATATATACTTTCCTATGTGGGAAACCAATATTTCGTGATGTTATATAATTTTTGGCCCAATCAAACTTATAATACCCCCAAAACATAGTGTTGTAGGGTATAAAAACCGCTATATGGGGGCTATACGAAGACGTGGTGTTGCATAAGTAATTTGTGTTATAGGTTGTAGTAACGGTTCCGAACTTTATATACGAAATATGAAACAATTCCGGTGAATAATGTCGCAAAAATTATGAAATTATCAATTATCTGGGAGTACCATTATATGGGGCCTATACTCACAAGGATGTGAATTTGCAATGAAAATGCTAATGGAGATCCTTGTGAGTATGGTGAAGGGTATAAAAATGCTAACACTTTGTCTTTGAAATGTACTGACTTCACACGGCACACCGACAAAGCCAAATTTCCTAAAAAGTATTTCATGACATAGGGTCTATTTCTTAATTTAATTAATTTCGATAATGCCCATTTTGGCCATATCAAATGATATATACCCTCTGTAACCATATGGCTGTGGGACAAAAAAATATTTAAAAAATGTATTAAAAGTAAAAATTTATTATGTAACTATTATACTATAAAATTTATTATTAACTATTACTATTTAATAGAAAAATATGTATATTTTGCACATGGCCAAAAAATCTAAAAAAAATGTGTGAAAAATTTGCAAAAACTAGTTATTAAAGAATTTTAAAAAAGCATGGTCATATTTTGAAATCACATTATAAAAAATTCATATTTTCCCCAGAATTTGATGGCTTTTTATATTTAACAAACTACAATATAAAATGTATTATGGGCGCAAATTACTTAAATGGGAATCAGATTTTTCAAAATTTTCTAGGGAAGTATCATTATCGCAGTTCAACTTGCCTCGCTAGAAATATTACGAAATACAAAGTATAAGAAAAACAGAGACAATTTTGATTTTATATTTAAAAAAAATATTGTTTATGTGTGGTATCTCACACATAAGATAGAGCGATAACACTTGATCTAACTAATTGACCAAGATATCTACAGGTGGCGCAAAAGCGAACTTTCGATGTTTTTTTGGCTGAAATTAAAAAATTTAAAATATTTTTTTTTACATCAAGTCGAGAATATGACTTGATATTGCGAAACAAGTCGGCGATTTTTTAATACTTCCCTTAGCCAGAAATCTGACATGAATATGTAATTTATCGAAATTTATGGTTTCGCATAAAATTGGATTTAAAAGTTCAATATCCTTCAAATTTTGCACATACCAATTATTCTTGTGGATTATTTTTATTTGGTCTTTTATTTTTTTTTTTTACATCAAGTCGCGAATATGACGTCATGTAAATGGCCACCACCGCCACAGTTTATTGTTATTTGAAACCTTTTTTATGGCATTTTCCATCGCTTTGGCCAAAACTTCCGGGGAAAGGTTTTCACATTCTTAACGGATATGGCCTTTAAGAGCTGAAATTGTCTTAGGCTTGATGACATAAACCAGTGACTTAAAAAAGCCCCACAAAAAGAATTTTGGAGCAGGCAAATCAGGTGATCTTGCTGGCCAGTGCAAATCGCCAAATCGCCCGGGAAATGCATCCTTCAGCATATCGATTGTGGCACGGGCAGTGTGTGCCATTGAACCATCCTGTTGGAACCACATGTTTTCCAATGCTAACTCATCAAGTTGCGGCAAAAAGAAGTCGTTGATCATTGCTTTGCAGCGCTCACCATTCACAGTAACTGTTTTGGGTCGCGAAGTCTTCAAAGATAAAAGTTCCGATGATTCATCCAGCGACATTGAGCGGGTGTAATGGTCCCTCTTGGTTTACACTCAGATTTTTAGTGCTTCAGAAGCGTAAATTTTTCTTATTTACGCACCCGCTAAGATGGAAATGGGCCTCATCACTCATGATTATTTTTAATGATTAAGATTGGCTAGACGTGACAGCAGCTAACAGCTGATGCTCCATCTGGACTGTGTACGGAAACATTTTCTAATCTTGTACTAAAATTCACAGTAAAGACCGTCGACTGATACGCATTTGCATGACACGTCGTCGGGTCGATGTCCACGACGCTTTCATGACATCCTCGGCTACAGCCGCAATAATCTCTGTGTTGAATCAATTGAATCAATGTTGAGCAAATTCGGACGATTTGTTTTTTTTCTTTGATACGAACCTCTATCCGACTGTATAGAAATATTTAAGTCCCACCTTTCCTTGCAAGTGATGTGTGATGATAAACAGCTTTATATTTTTTTCAGAATCATTTGTTAAAAAAGGATGATGTAAGTCCACTTTTGAAATATTTTCTACGTTCCTTTTCCTTGTTGAATTATAGCGTGGCCTACATAAAGTCGTCCAGTGAGCCCATCTGACAACCAAGTTGAATGACATATTGTGATTTGAAATTCAAAGAGAGTCAAATCGTACGTCAGAATTTCTACCAGGCCATCTCTGCTGGTAATGCAGAACGTAGTTGTTTACATGTTTTTTTGGGTTTAAAAATTATAAGGTTGCGAGTTCAATACCAGCAACGACAAAAAGTATATAGGAGTATACGATTTGGCCCAAACATAGACGAGTTCGGAGATGGGAAATATCGGTCCGCTTCTTTTGGTAATTCCCCCAAAAAAGTTCAAAATTTCCAAAGAAAATATTTTATTGCACAGAATGAGAAAAGATAATCCGATTTTGCTCCAACTTTGCGAATCCTTATATTTTCATCAGTGCTAGGTCAGGTGCGAAAATGAAAATATCGGTCCAGTCCATCAAGTACCTCCCCCACAAAGGGTCAACATTTTGAATAATTACAATTTTTATAAAATATGATGTAGGAATCCGATTGTCTTCAAATTTCGCACATCCCAATAATTTTATTAACCCAAGGTCTAAAACGTGAAATTAATATCCGATTCCATTCAGACTGTTATAAAGATGATAAAGATCGGACCATTTCTTTTGGTACCTCCCCACCTAGGGTTCAAGATTTTGAAAAACAAAACGCTCAAAAATAGCGAAATAAGCATCCAACTCTCTTCACACATCCAAATAGTTTTGCCAACGCAAGATCTGTTGTGAGGATGATATATACCTGGCAACACCTTCTAATACGTCACCCACAAAGGGTCACAATTTTCAATGTTTATTCCTATCATAACTTGTGAAAAAAGTCGGCGATTCTTTAAAACTTCCTATATCTAAATATTTCCCTTAGCCAGAAATCTGATATGAATATGTAATTTATCGAAATCCAACTCTCTTCACACATCCAAATAGTTTTGGTAACGCAAGATCTGTTTGTGAGGATGATATATACCTGGCAACACCTTCTAGTACGTCACCCACAAAGGGTCACAATTTTCAATATTTATTCCTATCATAACTTGTGAAAAAAGTCGGCGATTCTTTAAAACTTCCTATATCTAAATATTTCCCTTAGCCAGAAATCTGATATGAATATGTCATTTATCGAAATTTATGGTTTCACATAAAATTGCATATAAATGTTCAATATCCTTCCAAATTTTGCACATACCAATTATTTTATCTGTATTGTATGAAGTATGAAAATGGAATACTTCGGTCCGCTATATCTGTTACATTACGCATATTACCCCATTTTCCAAAAATTTGAACATATCTCATATAAAGTATAGGAAGTAGTCAATATAGTCCAAATCTTCCACGTTGTAATCTTTATATCAGTCTTAGATCAGATACGATTTGGTCAATATTGTTCAAGTGCTTTGCAACATCCCCCATAAAGAGTTTGAATGATCATAACTCATGGCTGGGGGTATGCATCTGTCGTTAAAACGGACCGATACTCTTTAACTTCTTTTTTTTATGCCCTCCACCGCTGTAACTCTTTGAAATATTTATAATGGACTATTCAAAGTATATATATTCCTGACCATCGTAAAATTCTAAATTCTATCGAGCGGTGTCCGTCTGTCTGTCTGTCTGTTGTAATCACGCTATCTTTCGAACGAATTGAGATAGAAGGATAAATTTTGCATTCATGCATAGTTTACCAGTAGGCAGGTTAAGTTCGTAAATGGGCCATGTCGGTCCACGTTTTCGTATATCCCCCATAAAACGGTACCTTCCGATATTCGGTATTTTCATGATTTCAGCGACATTATCTACCGGCATTGTTTTATATCTCGTATTTTAAATCCGTAATGGGTACTACAGCCTATGACAAAAACTTGTGTTTGCAGGTCCACGTCTTCCTATAGCCCCCATATAACGGTACATCCGAATAGTCGGTATTTGGATGATTTCAGCAAAATTATTCACCGGAATCGTTTCAAATTTCGTATTGGAAGATCTTAAGGGGTACTACAACGTATGGAAAAAAAATTCGTATGCCGGTGCACATCTTCGTATAGTCCCTATATAACGGTACCTCGCGATACTCGGTATATTCATGATTTGTGCGACATTATTCACCGGAATTGTAACAAATTTCGTATTTAAAGTTCGTAATGGGTACTACAGCCTATGACAAAAAATTCGTACGTAGGTTCACGTTTTCGTATATACCCCCCCTCCCCCCATAACGGTACATCCCGATATTCGGTATTTTGATCATTTTTGCGACATTATTCACCGGAATTGTTTCAAATGGTTACTACAGCATATGGCAAAAAAAATCGTAAGCAGGTCCACGTCTTCATATAGTCTCCATATAACAGTTTTCATTTAAGTGGTAGTTTCCGGAAATTTTCTGAAATTTTTCAAGTTCCTTCCAAATGGTGAAGGGTCTTAAAAGTTCGACCGAACTCAGCTGATGTTTTACTTGTTTTTGTCAGACTTGGTTGCAAATTAGAACTAATTATGTGGTCAAAAATGTTCCTTTAAAAATATCGGCTTAGTAGATTAAAATCAGTTATTTAGTAATAATTAATAATTTAATTATAATTATTAATTATAATAATTTAATTATAATTATTAATTATAATAATTTAATTATAATTATTAATTATAATAATTTAATTATAAATTTTCTGGACTATGTGGTGTTTTGTTTTTAAAAACGTCCAAGTGTGATTTTTTCCTAAAGATTCACTCTCTCTCTCCAGTCTGCCTCCTAGCTTCCGATTATAAACTTAAGTCTTTCTAAGTCGCAATGTCGGTCTTATAACAATTAATATTATTATATTTCAAGAGATACTTCTTGTTTGCAACATTATTCTGTTTTCAACTTCTTGTATACTTTGATATTCCTCCCACACAAATTTTTTCATCCGATTTTACAATCAAAATCCTTTTATGGCTGTGATAACATGGAAGGGTAGACTATGTATTCCATTTGTAAATGTGGGGGTCAGAATATAATTGTATTATTTATTTATTTTTTTATAAACATTTTAGTTTGCCTTTCTTCATTCACAAAATTTAATTAATCTACTGAAAATTATCCATATTTAATTTTAATTTTTTTTTTGTTCTTATCGCAAATGAACTTTAAACGACAAATTTATCTTGATAGCGATTTTTTTGGTTTAGGTTGTGATGTGATATTTAATTCTCTTTCGATAATTTTTCATATTCATTTCTTTTTTTTCATTTCTTTCATTTGAAATTATTCATTGGCCTGTTATATGGTTCTTAGGCAGATCGAATGTCGAGTAATTTATTTTTCACTGTCGAAGTCACCATGATTAGATAAAGGCAATGGGCAGGCAGTTGTGTTGATACTCATTTGCTGTGCTCAGGGTTCTTCTTCTATTCCACTTTGTTTCCGTATCTCGCATTTTTTTTTTTTTTTTTTTTTTTTTTGTCACGAAACTTAAAACTTGTTATCAACTTTTGTTTATCAGCACTTATTTTGCTACTTTTTTCACTTTGTTTTTGTTTGTTTCGCCTTTTTATTGGCCAAAATAAGGAATTTCGAAGCGATGAAGTAATTAATTAAAAATGTATTATTTATAGATTATGGAAACTCGAGAGTAATTTCGTTTCGTTTTTTCTTTGATATTTTTTTTTTTTAATTATTTACAAATATTTGACTGAATGAAAAATAAATAAATATTTGTTCATTGTTTAATTTTTTTACCCGCTTCTATTGATTTTTGTCGGCGTTATATGTTTATTAAAAAAGTTTGATTATAGACAGAATTATCTAGAATTATTGATATCTCTATTTTCAATTTTGCTTTTGTTCTTCTTTTTTTTTGGCTAAAATGGAAAACAAAAATTGTTACACACGTTTGCAGTTCCTTCGTTCGAGAAAAGAGAATTGTGAAACCGTCGGTGTCAAAAATCAAACTGCTGTCGATATTTTCATAACTCCGCCTCAAGCGATTCAAAAAGCAGGTGAATTCTTATCGAAATGCTGCAGAACAGAACAAAAAAAAAATTATAGAAACCTTATCAAGCGCGATATGGCGATAAATACCAAAACAATTGGTATTTTCCGAATTCAAAAGATAACTCGCGGAAAATACAAGGGTATTCGTGAGCGGCAGGGTGGCGAGAGGTGATAATCAATGAATGTTACATATTAACCAAAAAATTCGTATTTTTTATGTCATTTGTTATGGCATATTTATTATTTTCCCCTATAAGTTATTAAAATTATCTATGTAAAATACTACGGGTTCCGCTTTACAATTTGTTGCGTAGAAAAGTCCCTCAGTGGGACTTTTGAAAAGATAAAGGCGATTGGAGTCGCAGTTGAATAACAAAGTATTTAATTTTTAATATTTATATTCCTTTAGGCAATAATTGAACAGATATTCGCGAAAGTTGTTTCAATCATCTGCGTTTCTAATTCTTTCTTTCTTTTTCAAAATGTTTGGTACTGAAATATCAGTCTATAATGCATTATTGTCCCATACATCGATACCTCCAGATATTCCGTATTTCCAATTTCCAAAATTTAAAGACACTTATTTCAAATTTTATGTTTAACCTTTTGTGGGGGAAAAGAAGCGGAATGACATATTACCTTAGAATAATGGTTGGGAGAAATATTGTGTTGTACAAAATATTGTCTTCGTACGAAAAGGGAACAAAAAGTACTTAAATGTAATTAAAATTGAATACTGTGCATACGACAAACGGAATAAGCTAGAATTCTGAAATTTGGAATGAGAGTCACTGAAAGAGTGCAGGTTTTTTGAAAATTGTAACTTTAAGCTTGCGAAAAGTTCTAAAAGGATACTAAAATTTTAAAATGTACCATTTCGTATTATGTGAATGTATAGAGCTAAAAACTTGAAATTTGGTAGAACAATCAAATTTTGGAAAGTTTGATGAATGTAGGTGGTTTTGGAAATGTTTACTTAATGTGCAAACTGTACTAAATGATACTAATTGTACTAAATGACGGTAAATGTGGAAGGTTTAGTTTGGGTTGAACGGATGATGCTGAAATGTTGAAATTTTTTATTGGATTTCAGATAAAGTGGTGTTTTTGGAAAAGTGTACTACATGTGCAAGAAAAGTACCAAATAGTATTATATTTGGTATTGGGTGAACAGATAGTGGTTGAAATCAGTTAGTTTCCGAAATGAGTATTATAATTGTATGAAAAGTACTGTATGGTACTATATTGGGTACCTGGTGGGGTGAAGGGATAGATATACAGGGTGAGATAAAAAAGCTGCAACAAAATCAAACGCCATAATTTTTACATTTTAATTTTATTAAATGAAAGCAAAAAATGTCGGAAATAGCATCAAATTTTAGAATAAGTTTAGATTTGTTAGAATTGGTCACCTTTTGCACGAGTTATGTGGTATTTTGGCCCATTCCCGGCGAAGCGTTTACTTTCCTAAATAATCCAGACAAAATAGTCCAAAGGATTGGTATGCGGAGATTTTGGTGGTCATTGTGCGCTGGAAATGAAGCGAGGAACCTCAATTTGTAACCATTCTTGGGTGGCGCGTGTTGAATGTCCAATAATATTCGGCATTTATTCTGATGCCACGGTCGATTTATACGAGCGGAGAGGTAGCATCGGTTGTTATGGCGGCCCTCACCATCACCATGGCCGGCGCTTGAGTTCTGGTAGCCAACCGAAGGTGCACATTTTCAGCTGACCTCTTTGGCAAGTAAACACGATCATTGTGTTTGTTTACAAACTACTGGACAACGAATGTTTTCTCATCGGAGAAAACCAAATTCGGCAGTTCACCACTTTCGGCCAAGCGAAGCAACTCTTTAGCCCTTTTGAGTCTATTTTCTTTCCGTTGCAGTGTAAGTTCTTGCACTTTTTGGAATTTCAATGGCTTTACCCCTAGCTCATTTTTCAATGAATGGATAGAGCTGGAATTCCGAAACGTAATATTGAGGCCTCTGTTGGTATCTGGAATTGAGATATGGAGGTGGTTTTGGGAAATGTGTACTATAATTGTACGAAAAGTACTAAATAGTACTTAATTTGGTATTGGTCGATGGAATAGGACTGAAATTCGGAAATTTGATGTAGATGTCACTCTTGGTTCGAATAGTACTAAGTGGTGCTAAATTGGGTATTAAGTGAATGGATAGAGCTGGAATCCCTGTTGGTGTTTCGGATTGCGATATGGAACGGTTATGCAAATGAATACTAAAATTATACGAAAAGTGAATATATAGAGCTGGAATCACGAAATTTTATATTGAGGTCCGGTGTTAAAATCTGGTGGTGGTTTGCACTATAATTTTTCGAAAAGTACTAAATGGTAATAATTTTGAATCACTTTTGGTGTCTAGGATGGAGAAATGTAGATTGTTTTAAATAAACGTACAAAATGTGGTATTGGGTGAAGGGATAGACTTGAAATTTAATATTGAGGAGACGTTGAAATATTTTTGGAGGGAAAATGTGATGTTCTTGGTTTTACGAATATCCTTCTCCGTAAACTTTAAAATAAAAGAAATTCTTTATTTTTATACCCTCCACCATAGTATGGAGGTTGTATTAAGTTTGTCATATGTCACAAAGTATGTATATTCTTGATCAGAATAAAATTCTATGTCGATTTAGCGGTGTCCGTCTGTCCCTCTGTGGAAATCACTCTAGCTTTCGAACGAAATGAAGAAAGACTGCTGGACTTTTGGTATTGAAATGACCATGTAGGTCCACGTTTTAGTACAGCCCCCATATAATGGTTCGTCCGTATTTTCGGTATTTTGATGATTTTAGCGACTTTATTAACCGGAATTGTTTCAAATTTGGCGTTTGAAGTTCGTAATGGATACTACATCCTAAGTGAAGAAATGAGCCATGTAGGTCCACGTCTTCATATAGCCCCCATATAACGGTACCCCCGATATTCGGTATTTTAATGATTTTAGAGACATTTTTTACCGGAATTGTTTCAAATTTCGCATGTGAAGTTCGTAATGGATACTTCATTCCATGCTAGAAAATTGTCTCTGCAGGTCAACGTCTTCGTATAGCCCCCATGTAACGGTACCCCCTATATTCGGTATTTTGATGATTTTAGCTACATTATAAACAGATTTTTCTTCAAGTTTCGCATTTAAATATTGTAATAACTTATGACAAAAGTGGCCTATGCAGGTCCACGTCGTCGTATAAGCATTCGGCATTTTTAAGATTTTAACATAATTTTTAACGGATTTTATTTATTAATTTTTTTATACCCTACACCACAAGGTGGTCAGGGTATTATGTCTTTGTGCATTTGTTTGTAACAGGCAGAAGGAAACGAGATAGACCCATAGTTCCTTTTGATGATCTGCATAGAATCACATTCTGAGTCGATTTATGCATGTCCGTCCGTCCGTCTGTCCGTCCGTCTGTCCATGTATTTTTGTAAACAAAGTACAGGTCGCATTTATTGCCCGATCCAGATGAAATTTTACACAGATCATTTGTTTGGCCCAAGGACGAACCCTATTGAAATTGGAAATAATCGGTCAAAATTTAGAAATAGCTCCCATATATATCTTCGTCCGATTAGCTTTTTATTGTGTACCAAACGTGTAATATCAGCCCGAATAGTATGGAATTTTGCATATAGATCCAAATTAGGCCTAAAAATAAGTATGCCAAATTTGATCGAAATCGGTTCAGATATAGCTATAGCTCCCATATATATTGTTCATCCGATTTGTTATTTTTATCCTTCGCAGCCGTAATATGCGTTCTGCAACAACAATATTTGGGGAAATATATCAAATACAGCTTAGAAATACATTTGCTAAATTTTATGGAGATCGGTTCAGATTTGGATATAGCTCCCATATATAACTTCGTCCGATTTATCTTGGATTGTGTACCAAACGTCTAATATTTGCCCAAATTGGATGAAATTTGGCACTTACGACCGAATTGCGTCTAGAAGCTAGTATGTCAAATTTGGGGAAGATCGGTTCAGATATACCTATAGCTGCCATATATACTGTTCATCCGATTTGTCATATTTGTTACCAACAGCCGTAATATGCACTCCATAACAACGATATTCAGGGAAATATATCAAATACAGCTCAGAAAAATCTTTGCCAAATTTTATCGAGATCGGTTCCGATTTGGATATAGCTCCCATATATATTTTTATCCGATTTCAAGTTAATTGTGCACCAAATGGGCACTACAAGTCCGAATTTAAAAGATACAAATGCTTTGGCATATTTATTCCTTTGAACTTTAAATTGTAATTATAATCATAGCGTGTATGATTGAAATCTCCCATAAAAACTTTTAATCTAAATCTACTAAATTAGCAAAGTGGTGTAGGGTATCATAAAGCCGGCCCCGCCCGACTTTAAGACTTTCTTTACTGGTTTTATAAGTAGTTTCTGATCCAAAAAGGTACATTGTTCGCATTACCTTGCAATGGATAATTCGCATCATCCCCATTTTTGGCTGGGAAAAGACGATTCGCAAAGCAACTTTCTAGAAAAATTAAAAAAAAAACATTTACAGACAAGGCTCGAATTTTAGTCAAACTAATCGATGACAATTTTGATGTACGACTACATAATTGCATATTTTAGATAAACCACAAATAAATGTGTATTGTGCTGCACATGGATCGGTTTGTCCATATGACTCAGCTCTCCTAACGTTATACAGGTGCTGTAGGCTCTCTATCTCACCCAGCAATTGCACGTGATTTGCGAAACGCAGGTATAGAAATTATAAATATCATTGTAGCGGATTCATGTTATTAGGTTATATGAATCGGACTAAGATATTGGCTGACGGACTTTTGAAAATAAATTGCCAGCAAACTAATCAAACGCTTCATGCTGTTTGATATCTTATCGCCCTCAAGAAAGAAAAATAGAAATAACAACAACAACAACACCACCA